GCCTTGACCTGCTGGGCTCCGGCTATCCTTCCGCCTCAGCCTTCCAAGTAGCTGGAACTACAGGTGCGCGCTACCACTCCCGGCTAATTTTTTTTGATTTATTATAGAGATGAGATCTCATCAAGTTGCCCAGGCGAGTCTCAAACCCGCGGGCTCAGGCAATTCACTCACCTCGGCCTCCCAAAGCGTAGGATTACAGGCTGAGCCACCGAGCCCGGCCTTATTTTATTTTTAATGTGTTGGACATCTCTCCCAGAATATTGGAGGTGCTGGAAATAAAAATAGTCCACCTATTAAGATGCAAAAGATGGTAATATAAGATAATAATAGATATAATGATAACATAATCACTTTTGTTTATTGAATTTCTGCAATATGCCCTGTACTATGTTTCTTATGAATCATCTCATTTAATTATCTTAAGTGAAAAAGCATAGGGTTAAATGTTCAGGTTCTGGAGACAGATTTCTTGGGCTCCAATTCTGTCAGTTACTCTATTGGGAGCTCCACAGGGAGCTCCATGATTTGGGAAATTTAATCATTCATGTTGTAATTTCTTTATCTGTAGAATTGAGGCAGTGATAATATCTTCATCATAGTATTCTTATAAGTATAAAGTAAAGTAATTTATTTAATGCATATAGAGCCATGCCTGGTGCATAGTGAGAGGCCAGTTTTTAGCTATAATGATTAGCCCCTAAACAGTAGCATTGTGTATGTGGGGGGTATCCCCAAAACCCCAAGTTTATTTATAAAAAATTTTGTATTCTTAAGTGTTTAAACTTCAGTCACTTACAAAGTACTCTCTGTTTAATGTAATACACCTACCTAGATACTTTTTCCACTGCTCATGTTTTTGAAGCCTTAATTTAGTGCTTCTGCCATTTTTTGTTTCACCCCTTTCACATTGGCAAAATGTTTCCCTTTGAGGACTTTTTTCATCCAGGGAAACAAACAAAACATCTCTTGGGGAGAGATGGGATGAATAGGGAGGATAGGGCCATGGGGTCATGCTATTTTTGGTCAAAAACTGCTGAACATTGGTGGGACTCGGTGTCTCAGCCTGTAATCCTAGTACTTTGGGAGGCTGAGGCGAGTAGATTACCTGAGCCCACGGGTTCGAGATCAGCCGGGGCAACTTAGTGCGATCTCGTCTCTACAATAATAAATCAAAATAATTAGTCAGGCGTGGTAGCGCATGCCTGTAGTTCTGGTTACTTGGAAGGCTGAGGCAGCAGGATCACCAGAGTCCAGCAGGTCGATGTTAGGGTGGCCATGAGCGTGCCACTGCACTCCAGCCTGGCTGACAGAGTGAGACTCAAAAACAAAACAAAGCAGAACTGCTGAACACCCAACGCAGTGTGGGCAGTTGCGTTATCATGGTGGAAGAAACCAGTCACCTGCTTGCCACAACTCTGGACATTTCTTCTGCAGATCATAATGCAACCTTCTCTGAACGTACAGATAAAACTTTGGTTGACTAATCCAGAGAAACTAATTCAGAGTGTACGACAAGGGGCCCACCCTCCAAAGATAATTCTGAGTTTTTTAGGGGATTCTCCCCTTGTATTACAGAAGCAGGCTCAGAAAGGTTGTTTCTTGCCCAAGAGTACACAGCAATGAGGGTGGAGCCAGGACTCCAATGAGGAGCTTCTACTCCATTACACAACCCCTAAATGTATGAAATAAAATTAGTAAGAGGCTTGTCCAATTAACTCCTAAAATAATAAATTCATATAATTTTGGAAACATAGTCACTGCCCATATGTATTCACAAAATGTTGAATTTAGGAGTCCAAGTTTCCATTCCCAGCTCTGTGTCTTAGTATGAACTTGACTGAGTTTTTTCATTATTTGCCACAAGCTCCCACCATGTCATAGGATGAGGTAAAGAGCATATGAAATAAAATGATTTTAAATTTGAAAGAAGGAATATGACCAAACTGAGGGTACTTGCTCTCAAACTTGGTGTGCATTGGAGTTACCTGGCTCCACTCTTAGAGTTTCTAATTTTTAACAAGTTTTCAGGTCATGTTGATTCTGCTGCTCCAGAGACCATACTTTGAGAATTACTGGCCTATAGGAAGTAAATGAAAAGGAATTAATGTCCTTTTTTGAAAGTTAAAAAAGATTGCTGGGCGTAGTAGCTCATGCCTGTAATCCCAGCACTTTGGGAGGTAGAGGTGAGAGGATTGCCTGAGTCCAGGGTTCGAGACCAGCCTGGGCAACGTGGTGAGACCTTATCTCTACAATAAATAAAAAAATTAGCTGGGTGTGGTGGTACACACCTGTTGTTTCAGCTACTTGGAAAGCTGAAGCAAAAGGATTGCCTGAGCCCAGCAGGTTGAGACTGTGGTGGCAGTGAGTGTGCCACTGCACTCCAGTCTGGGTGGCAAAGTGAGACTACGACTCAAAAAAAAAAAGAATTTGGTGACCGTTGGTTTGGGAAAACTCTTTGGAAATCTAGTTAGATGAATTAAGAATACTAGTTTGATTAGTTTACCAATTTAGATAAGGTAGTTTAAAAAAAACTCAAATTACTATTATCCTTTGTTAAAATCCAAAATCTTCGCCATATTATGTGTTCCACTTACAATATAAGTACGAGAAATGTTTTGCATTAAGAACTAGATTGTGTATTGCATAGTTTTCTATCACTGTAACAAAATCAATGACTTAAAATAACCACCATTATTTTTTTATTACGTTTCTGAGTTGACTAGGATGGCGAAATGGTTTTTACTTGCGGTGTCTTATGCAGTTGTTGCCAGTGGTTGGGATTAAAGTCAGCTCAAAGGCCTCCTGATTCACATGTCTGGTTCCTGGACTGAGAAACTCGTAGAGTCAAGGGCTAAAAGGCTGGGGCTCTTCCAGCATTACTTTTCCAGCACTGTGGCCTCGAGATCGCCATACTTCCTATGTGGTAACACAGCACCAGAAAGCTGTGTCTCGGGACACTGAGCCCAGAGGGAAGCTCTATCGCTGTTTATGCCCTAACCTTGAAATCACACAGCATTGTTTCTGCCATACTTTATCAGTCAGAGTGGTCACAAAGGCCTGCACAAGTTCAAAAGGAGAACAAAAACACTCTCTTAAAAAAGAACATTAAGGTTCTGGAAGAGCATGTAGAACTGGAAATATGGTGTGGCCATTTCTTGCAAAGTACAGTCTGATAAGTGTCAGTGACAAATGGGGGATATGGGGGACACGTGGTTTTCTCTGAATGGCATGTTGCGCTCTAGGATTTCACAGGCCAGGTATTAAGACAGTGTCATAGGAATTTAGGAAATGTGACTGCCTTGTGCAGAGAACTTCAGGGTCCCTGTGTTTTCTCACCAAGTATATTATTCATTTCATTCCCTCTTTACTTGTTCAGTGAATGTTGGGTGCCCACTATGTGCCCAAGACTGTGCAAAGCATGGGGAATTAGGCTGGCAAGCAAACCCACCATGATCTTGCTTTCAAAGAATTGCCTGACTGCTTGCTTGCTTTCTCTCTTTCTTCCTTTCTTTCTCCTCCTTCTTCTCCTCTTCCTCCTCCTTCTCCTTCTTTTTTTTCCCTCTCTCTCTCCACAGAGAAAATTAGGCAGGTATTTTATTTCAAAGAATTTCTTCCCAAATAGTGTGGTTGAAACATGTCTTCTATTATTTTTCAGGCTATTCCTTAGTTGGCTGTTTCTCCTACACTGACATAATTAGTATATCACATTATTGGGCACCATCCTGAGTTTTAAGTTCAATAAGAGCTGTGTTTTTTGATCTAAAATTAAATAGGAGTAATATCCTTAAAGATATTTCTCCCCACTCATCAGATCTATTGTTCTTAGGATCCATTTTATTTGAGACTGGCAACTACACAGGGTTTCTGTTGATACCTGAAACTTTCTTTTTTTGAGTCAGAGTCTCATTCTGTCATCCAGGCTGGAGACTGGAGTGCAGTGCATGCCCATAGCCAGAACTACAAGCATGTGCCACCATGTCTGGCTAATTTTTTCATTTATTGTAGAGAGGAGGTCTCACCAAGTTGCCCAGGCTGTTCTTGAACCCCTGGCCTCAGACAGTCCTCTTGCCTTGGCCTCCCAAAGTACTGGGATTACAGACTTCAGCCACCATGCCTAGATGAAACTACTTCACATATAAATATGTGAAGCTTTCGAATAATAGAGGAGAGACGTGTGAACTATGAATAGGAAACAAGGATACAAGGAAATGAAAAATTGATAATAGACACTCATTTTCTGGTTGAAATAAACATTTAGTGAAATAAAGCATAATTAAAAAAATACATACAACATATACATCCTGTTTAATGAATTCTATAAATAGGTGCTCATATAGTTACCACCCACCTAGGTAAAGAAATAGAACTACAGAAGCCCTCGTGTGTCCCATCCGGATCACAAACCCTGTGTTTTGCTAACCATTATCCTTATTTTTGTGGTAATTTTTCTTTTCTTTTTTTTTTGAGTTGGAGTCTCACTCTGCCGCCCAGGCTGGAGTGCAGCGGGATGCTCACAGCCACCGCAGCTTCGACCTGCTGGGCTCAGGTGATCCTTCTGCCTCAGCCTTCCAAGTAGCTGGAACTTCAGGCACAAGCCATCACACCTGGCTAGCTTTCATTTTCTTTATGGAGTATGTGGCTCTCTAACACTGTAGGTTTACCTCTCTTCGAACTTTATGTAAATGGTATTGTGTGTATGTACATGTATGTGCACGCTGGTACCCTCACTGAGCACAGAATCATATAAGATCTATCCAGGCAGGACCAACTCTAACATTTCTGGGACCTGTGACCTAAGTACAGACAAGACAGAGTCCTCATAGTCTACTCGTTATCTTTTCCCATCCTGACTCTGTCCTGTACCACAAGGGGCCTTACCCACATGTGTTTAGATACTCACAACTTAGGGTACAGAGGGTAAGGGTGGATGGATGGGGAAGGGCGCAGCACCACCGGAGCCAGTCTGCCTGAGGTGTGCGCTGGTATCCAGAGATCCGAGTAATACAAAGATTTGCAGGACACAAAGAGGTGAAAGAAGAAAACATTTATTTAAGAAAGGTTCACCTCCCACAGATAGGAAGCAGGCCTACACTCTAGATGAGTGTGGCTCCCTGATCCTTGGCTTAAATCCTTTCCCTTGAAGGTGTTGCAATCAGGTAGATGGGACTGCCGTGACTTCCTTGTTGACCACTTGCAGATGTCTTGGAGACCCTGACGGGGAGTCCTGGTCACCAGGCACTGAGTATACAATGGGTCGATACTGGTCATGCTTGAGAAGTTTGAGGTTTGTAAAAAGACAAATTACAATATGCCGGTACTAGTCATGCTTAAGGAGACGTGTTTCTGAAAAGACAAGGTCGGCAAAGTTAATTTTTACCTAGAGCATGTATTTCTCTCGGACATAGCCTCTAGTTTCTCATCATTGTGTTAGGGTTTAGGAACAAGATAAAAAGTGGATTTCTCCAGGACATAGCTTCTACTTTCTCATTGTGTCAGGGTTGAAGAACAAGATAAAAAAATGACTTCCTGTTCTCGGTCTGTCCTTTCAATAACACACCTGCAGACAGGTGACCGCATGGCCGTTCCTTGGACGTAGGCAAGAACACACCAATGGTGCTGTCTGTTCTTGGAAGGACAAGCCTGAGGAGGCCTATGAGGTCCTGAAAATGGGATCAGGTCTGTTTGGACAGGGAGTTCTAGGGAACTGGGTACTTGGAGTTTGGTCTAGGTGGGAAACTCGGGGTCCTGATGGGCATGTCCCATTGACTCTATTCACTATTTGCCTCCGGGAGAAGGCCATAGCTGGAGGAAGGCAGGGGTGAGAGGCTCCACAAAGTGTGGAGCTCTGGGCAGAGGTCCTGGTTAGCTGTCTCTAAGGGTGGTAGATACCACATCCATGTGTTCCTTGTAGTAGTAGTATCCCATTATGTGAATATATCCAGTCTTGTTGATGGGCATTTGTGTTGTGTCTTTCTATGAACATTCTTGTACATGTATGCTGCTGTACTTGTATATGAATTTCTGTGTGTCAGCAGTTCTCAAAGTGTTGTCCACAGACTCCTAGACGCCCCTGAAACCCCCCCCTTTTTTTTTTGAGTTGGAGTCTCACTCTGTCGCCCAGACTGGAGTGCAGTGGCCGCTCCCGGCCATCGCAGCCTCGACCTGCTGGGCTCCGGCGATCCTTCCGCCTCAGCCTTCCAAGTAGCCAGATTTACAGGCATGCGCTACCACGCCCGGCTGATTTTTTGATTTATTGTAGAGATGAGGTCTTGCTGCCCAGGCGGGTCTCAAACCTGCGGGCTCAGGCAATCCACTCACCTCAGCCTCCCAAAGGCGTGGGATTACAGGCTGTGCCACCGAGCCCGGCCCCCTGAAACCCTTTTAAGAGCTCTCCAGGGTTAAAACTCTTTTCAAAATAGTGGTAAGACCTTATTTTTCTTTTTCACTGTGGTGATATTTACACTAGGTAGCTTCAACATCCAATCTCTGCTGTTTAGTTGTTATATTTTTTTCCTCCTGTCTATCACAGCGTAAAAATTCCAGTTTTCCTTCAGAATGTGCTTGGTGAAGAAGTAACAATTACTAATTTTATTAAATCTTAACTTCTGAGTAAATATCATCTTAATATTCTGTGTGACAAAATAGCAACGTCTCAGAAAATACTTCTGCATATGAGAGGGAATCCAAAAAACCCCAGAATTTATTTATAAAAAATTGTGTATTCTTACATGTTTAAACTTCAGTCGTCTTTAAAAGTACTCTCCATTTGATGCAATACACCTATCAAGATGCTTTTTCCACTTCTCAAAACAGTTTTTGAACTCGTCAATTTTGATGTCTTTTCATGCTTCTTCCATTTTTTGTTTCACCTCTTCCACATCAGCAAAACATTTCCCTCTGAGGGGTTTTTCATCTGGGGAAACAAACAAAAAAAAGTTGCTCAGGACAAGATGGGGTGAATAGGGAGTGTGGGATGTGGGGGTGGGTCATGCCATTTTTGTTCAAAAACTGCTGAACCCTCAGTGTGGGATGGGCAGGTATGCTCGTAAATCACTCATGAAATGGATAAATGCGTCGAAAAGAATCTCCAAAAAAAGTTCACTGAAGAATGCAACCTCTCACCATAATACTAGCTGGTACACTGATGCCCGTGGGTTCCAAGGACACTTACCTGGTGGGGAAAGCCCGTACTACAAGGGGCCCACTGCCCTACGGAAGGTAATTCTGGGGTCTTTTTTGGGTCCTCTTGTATTTAATAAATTGATAATATATTTGCACTTGAATGCAACATCTAATTTTGTGCTTTTTAATTTTACTACATGATTTGTATTTCTTTTTTCTCATGTAAGCTTTTAGGCTATAAATCTTTAAATGCTTTGCTTTTCATTATTACTTATCTCAACATCTTTTTGAATTTCCATTTTTTTTTGTCTTTGACCTATAGTTTATTTAGTAAGGAATATTTTCTATTTATATTTTTGGTATTGACTTCTGGCTTATCTTGTGATTGGAGAACATGGGAATTCTGCAGGTGTATACAGTGTGGGAAGTTTGTTGTTCCTGTTGATCAAATCTTCATTGACTTTACTGCTTGCTTTTTAGGTTGTTTGTTCTATCAGTTACTTAAAGAAACTGTGTTGAAATTTCCCACTACAATTATTGATTTTTCTTTTTTCACTGTATTTATCAGTATCTACTTAAATGTTTTCAAATCCCTGTTCAGTGGCTTTTCCAGGACAGTACCTTAAGGAAGATGACATGTCCTAATATAGTGTGGTCTTGAGTTGCCTGGATTCTATGATTTGTGGGACTGGATAGCTCTGGTCACATCTAGATTATCTCCTATCAAGCTTTTGAATGAACCAAATTAATGAAATGATACAGGGGTACTCTTTGGGGATCAGGGTGCCACCGGGCCTTTGGTTTCAATCTCCACTGCCCAAACAGTTAACCCATGTTGCCTGATTCAGAATATTTTTTTCCTACCTCCTTTAAATGACACCTAAATGTGTTATTTAGCAATGTGGCTCTTGCTAAGCAAAGGCTGACTCTGAATTCCCACCAAATTCTGGTAATAGGAGGACCCATTTTTTTCCCAGTTGCTATCACCAGTCCTGTGAACTGCTAGCTTTTCCAGACACAATAATTTTAAGTTGAGGTCAGTATCAACAGCTTTACATGACCAATGAGAGCACCCATAGGAGAGTTAGTCTTTTGAACAGAGGGGTAGTTTTTATTTAGTTACCTTCTAAGATTTATTTCTCTTTTATCTTCAGTTGTTTGAAGGATTGAAGGCATTTCGAGGCACGGATAATAAAATTCGACTCTTTCGGCCAGACCTCAACATGGATAGAATGCATAGATCTGCTGTGAGGGCAACTTTGCCGGTATGTCAGTTTAGGAGTTTCTTTTGTGTTTCTTTTAATGTAATGGGTCACTCTGTTTTCCACCAAACAAATCATTTCTGAATACTTAGATCAATATTCAGTACAAACTATATGAGCATTGAAATTCTGATCTGCTTTAATGAGTAAGATAAAAATACAAGGAAATAACCAATACTGTTTGGCAATTCTACAATGTTTCTTTTTTTTTTTTTAAATGAGTGTCTGTAGAGGATTAATGTGTATGTGTGAGGTAAAAGGATAAGGAAGAAAAAATATGTCTCTAACAAAAATAAAATTTAAAGACCACATGAAATCATATTTAAAATGGAAAATATGGTATGCAGCACAGATATTTTGGGAATATTTTGCCTAATTGTCTTAGACACTAGTAAGAATAGGGTGATTTAATCGGATATTTTATCCCAAGCTTTGTTTTGAAATGGAAAAAGGATATAAAAATAGTTTTCCTTGACCTTTGAATCCTGGTTATAATGTTGTTGGTTATGGAACAGAATTCATTATAAGGTGGGTTAGATTTAGACTGCATGGTTCACATCTAGGTAGGACGTGACTTAGATCACCTCCCTCCCCTGAGACATAGCTAAGTCGCCTTTTTGAACTGAAAGGAACCTTTTTATTCTTTTACATATTCTGTATATATAACCTTTAGGAACTCAAGCCCAGTTTGTACATTGATGAAGCCTGGGGCCAACTAAGTCTAAGTAACTAATTTTTTTTTTTTTTAGCTACATTCTTTCTTCCTCTGCCAATTTTTGTAACCTGAGCTTCACCTACCTCCTTAGTAGAGGTGATAATGTGGTAGCAGAAGCGAAATTAAGGCCAATTCTTTGTGCTAGGTCCTAGTTTCACTCTTCTGTCACTTCCAGATAGGTCACTGGGGAAACTTTAAAACAGGTCAGAAGAAAAGGGAAGTAATATTAATCGAACATCAACTCTGGTACACACTGCCTTATGTAGTTTCACATTCCTTATCTGTTTAATCATAGCAGTAAGCCATTGTCAAGAAGGTATTTATTGTACAGTTTAGCAGACCTTTGTGCAGAGAAGACTTGAGTCCAGAAAGTTTAAATGACATGCCCAAAGTCACACAGGGCAAAGGGAGAGGGCAAGAAATTAGATTCAGGCTTCCTGATTCCTAGTGAAGTTCTCTTTTCGTAAATTCTGTCTTTAGACTGCAAAGTCAAGGACCCAGGCAGGTGATACAGAGTTCATTGATATGATTGGCAGTCCCAGCCTTTGTAGCATTACTACACTAAGATTGCTGTTATAGGTTGGTATTTACTTAGGCAAATCCTGGTGTTGTGAGCTCTACTCAGATACCTGTTATTGACTCATTTTGACCTTGGGTAACTCATCACATCTCTGAAAGTGTGTTTCTCTGCCCTGTAGGTGAGAACTATCACCCATCTGGTATATGAACACTTTGTGTCCTTAGAAATAAACTGCTTTTTGCTGTTGCCCATTTTCCTTTTGGTTTATCTTTTCCTTTCTTACTGAGTTTAATGATATCCATACACAGACCATTTATGATCCTTTGTTGGTTACATGCTACCAGTTGCTTTTGCGTCTTTAAAGAATAGGAACCCAAGCCGGGCTCGGTGGCTCAACCTGTAATCCCGCGCCTTTGGGAGGCTGAGGTGAGTGGACTGCCTGAGCCCGCGGGTTCAAGACCCGCCTGGGCAGCGAGACCTCATCTCTACAATAAATCAAAAAATCAACTGGGCGTGGTAGCGCATGCCTGTAATTCCGGCTATTTGGAAGGCTGAGGCGGAAGGATTGCCAGAGCCCAGCAGGTTGAGTCTGCGGTGGTCGGAGGCAGCCACTGCACTCCAGTCTGGGCAACAGAGTGAGACTCCAGCTCAAAAAAAAAAAAAAAAAAAAAGAATAGGAACCCTTAAGTTTTATATAGCCAAATTTGATTCATTTTTTTCTTTTATGATTTGTATTTTGCCTCTTTTATTTAAGAATCTTTTCCTGCCTGAGGTCACAAGGGTATTTTGTATTTTTTAATAAAAGTCTTAACATTTTTGTCACGTTTACATATGTAATCCAATTATAATTGATTTAGGGGTATCTTGGGGGTAAGGGTCTAATTTCTTATCTTTTCCATGTGGATAGTTCATCATCTCATCACAGTATTTTGGGAAAAAAAAATTAAAGAAAAAAATTGTTTGGTTTTATTATTACTTAAAATATTTACTGTTATTATTATTATTTTGTAGAGATAAGGTCTTGCTTTGTTGCCCAGGCTGATCTCAAACTCTTGACCTCAAGCAGTCCTCCTGCTTTGGCCTCCCAAAGTGCTGGGATTCTAGGTGTGAGCCACCATAATCAGCTGCAAAAACTTTTTTATTGGTACTTAACAATTATACATATTTATAGGATACATAAGATGTTTTCACGTGCATACAATGTGTAATGACCCAATTAATTAGGATATCCATCACCTCAAAAATTTCTCATTTATTTGTGTTGGGATCAGTATTACTTATTTAACAGTTTAAAAAACTTCCATGAAGAGCATTTTCTATTGCTACACTGGGAGGAAATTCCATCACTTACTATGTTTTCTATTCTTTCAGGTATTTGACAAGGAGGAGCTTTTAGAGTGTATTCTACAGCTTGTGAAATTGGATCAAGAATGGGTCCCATATTCAACATCTGCTAGCCTATATATTCGCCCAACATTCATAGGAACTGAGGTGAAAACTGACTCCCTATTTTGGAGTACTTTGGTGGCGAGTTATCAGTGTTTATTCTTGTCAAAACTTCTAGTATGTAATTTGAGGCAGCTGCCCTTATCATTAATCATTAATGACTCCTTTTTCCTGATTGTCAAGACTAAGGATAGCATTTTCTCTAACGGCCCAGAGAGTAAATGCCTTAGACTTCGTGGGCCATATAATTTTTGTCACAATCACTCAATTCTGCTGTTATAGATGTTGTAGATGGTACATATATGAGTAAATGAATGAGAAAAGAGTGATACTGTTTGCCTTCCCTGATCAAGGCTAATCATGGTTTCCTAAGTTTGCAAGTGCTGTGCCTTCCGTCATGGCAGCGCTTCTCTGAGGTAGAAGTGCTAATGATTTTTAATTTGGGGGAAGAGAGAGCTGCCATTTTTAATTTTTGTTTTCCTGATTACTCGGCAAGGAGTAGGAGTGGAGGGTCCCCTTCCCACACAGAACATGCTGACAATAAAGTTCACAGTGGAAGTTAAAGAAAGGGCATGGAGATCTGGGATGGCAGGTTTAAACAACATGGGCTTATGATCTGTAGGTCATAGTTTCTTGATTTGGTGCCCTTGAAAATGAAGGTATGGACTTGGCCGTGCTTGGAGGGCCCAATGCCATTTGAGTGAGTGAGTTTGTTATATAAAGACGGTCACTTGTCTATTATATCTTCTAGGCAGGTTTTGCTTTATGGAGAGTGGGTGATATTGAAGGATATGTGAGGGGAGGAGATCGAATGTGGGGGGCAGGAAGGGGGTGGAGCATATAAAGATCTTTAGGAATAGGAGCATGAGTAGAGATCTTTTACTATTGTTTAGCTAGTCTGTCATCTACTGGGAGATTGAGTGGTTACTAGGTTTTCTACTAGGTTGTATGAATGCAAAGAGGAGAAAAATATATAAAAACACAGGATACCTCAGTAGTTTTTTTTTTTTGAGGGCATTCTTTGTTACCTTTTGAACATTTTTCGAAAAATTTTTAAGAATCTAGACAGTGCGTTTAATAATTTACAGTTTCTCTGACTGGTAAGTTTTAAAGAATTGGGATAATTTAAAAAGTGATTTACTTCTTTAGGTTTTTTTGGCATTTTAATATGATTGAATCTTTTAATATTACTTTTTAACTTTAGGAAGAAACAATTTGTAAAGTTGGTTGAGATATTGTTATAATCTCATAGCATTACTTTTCAGTTATCCTGAGGTAATTTCCAAGTATAAGACCTGATTCTTATCTTCCTAGTTTATTGGGAGTTTTTGCCATGAATGGATGTTAGATTTTGTTGTTTACTTTCTCTGATTCTCTTGACATGATTATGTGGTTTTGTCCTTTATTCCATTATGAATGAATGAATTATATTAATTCATTTTTGGATATTAAATCAACCTTACTTTCCTGGGCTATTTGATTATGGTGAATAATCCATTTTATATCTTGTATTCAGTTTGCTGATATTTTGTTAGAAATTTTTGTGTCTATGTGTTCATGAAAGATACTGAACTAGGGTTTCTGACTTAGAATGGGTCTACTTACAAATTTTCAACTTTAGAATGGTGTGAAAGTGATACACATTCAGTAGAAACCATAGAGTACCCATACCATTCTGTTTTTCACTTTCAGTACAGTATTCAATAAGTTACATGAGCTATTCCATACTTTTGAGATGATTTTAGATTTTAGATGATTTTAGATTTTAGATGATTTTGCCCAAATGTAGGATAATGTAAGTATTCTTGAGCACATTTAAGGTAGGCTAGACTAAATTATGATGTTTGATAGGTTAGGTGTATTGAATACGTTTTCAACTTAATAGTATTTTCAATTTACAATAGTTTATCGAGACTTAATTCCGTTGTAAGTGGAGAAGCACCTGTATATCTAATTCTGTGGTTTAGTAAATCCTTTAGACTGCCAGAATCCCCCATCATCTAGAGTTAGACAAGACTTTAAATCTGATTTTGTAGTCCATCCTGCGGTCACAATAATCCTCTCTATTAGGGTGTCCACAACTCTTTGCTTTTGAATCACTTAGGTAAAAATACACATGTATTATTTAAAATATGCATGTGAAACCCAATCTCCAGAGATTATGATTGATTAGATCCAGGTGTTGATTCTGATACCTACCCAAATTCAGGAACTTTAGCACAAAAGTCCTACCAAGTAGATCTCTTACATTTTCATTACACTCTATTGACTTACATACTTGATTAAGCTTTGGACCCTGAGATCAATAATAACAAGAAAACATATCTTCTTTCTAAGTTATGAGTAAGAATTGAAGGAAATAATAATATCATTTGGCAAGTTGACATTTGGTATACTTATATTAACTGTCATTTTCTACTCAATGGTATAGGCAGAACAAATAATCACTTATAATTCAGAAATAAGCATGATACAATTAACATTCCAGGAAGGTATATGGATGTAAATATTTCTGCACCCCACAGATGTTATGCAATTATCATGCGTTAGCTTTTCGTTTTTTGAGTTGGAGTCTCACTCTGTCGCCCAGACTGGAGTACAGTGGCTGCTCCCGGACCGCGCGCTACCACGCCCAGCTAATGCGTTAGCTTTTCATGGTGTCTGCATTTGATAATATGAGGTACTGGCTAGAAGATTGGTGCCAGCAGCTTTTGATTCACTGGGATCCTTTTATCAGAGATGACTAGCTTTTGTTTGTTTTTTCACGTTACTTGGCATTACTTGATGACTCTGTCCTGTCACCGTCTTCACCTCTGTGTCAGTTATGTGATTTTTTTTTTTGGTCTTTCCTTGTTGATAGCTGACTTCTATGTTTTTCTTTCATGTCCTTTTATAGTTAGATTAGCTGGGCCTTATATTCAAAAGGTATTTTGATTTCTCTGAATGAACAAACTATGTTTGAGTAATTTATTAAGTGATATAACTACCTAGGTGATCACCTGAATTCAGTCTTTATTTCCTGCTATGGTACTTACTTGTGTATATAGAACAATGAGTTTTCTACAGTAGACACTCCTACATTGAGCTCTTGCCCAGACCCATATCTAAATCTATGGAACCAGGGTCTGAGACTGTGTGTTTAACAAAGTCTCCAGAGATTCCAGAGATTTCTTTTTAAACAAAAACAATTTTTTTTAAGTAGAGAAAGGATCTTGCTTTGTTGCCCAGACTGGTCTTGAACTCATGGGCTCAAGTTTTCTTCCCTATCAGTCTCCCAAAGTGTTGGAATTATAGGTGTGAGCCACTGTGACTGGCCACCAGAAATTTCTTAACTACTTTCAAAAGAATCACCATTCCAAGCCTTGTGAAGGAATTAAATATATGCCTACCAGACATATTTTTGTAAGTTTCCCATCATTAAACACAATGCTAAACATTGCTTTTAGCTTGAGCATCCCATATATGAAAATATGAAATCTGAAATACTCCAAAATCTGAAACTTTAAGCATTGACATGATACTCAAAGGAAATACTCAATACTTCTAGTCCCTAGCATTTCAGATAAGGTATATTCAACCTGTAATACATAAATATATCAATTAATATATATAAATAACTATTAATGTGAATGTATAACATTTATGTGGTATACAGATATTTAAATCTATGCACTTTATTGGATTTTTTTGACCTAAACTTATAAAAAGTTTAAATTAGAGGATAAAATTTATTTACATTAGCAAAAGATTTCTCATTAAAAAAACGATTATAGTATCATTTGAAGCAATATCTTCTGAAGTATTTATTTGTAGATTATTAAAAACTTAAAGAGAAACTAAAAGCTGGAGTGCTCCAAACTACTGCTGAATATGTATCAACTGGGAGTTAAAATAACATCTGAAATTGTAACATTTAAGTAAAGAATATTTACATGAGTGATTTCTACATTTTCATTCTACCAGACAGGAAGGTGAAATGCCATGACTGTCGGGTTCAGTATTGGATACCTAACAACCCTACATCCGAAGAAGATGAGTTTTGCTGATGTTAAGCCATCTGTTTGATCCACCCTTGCCCTGTTTAGCAACTTCATGCAGTTTCAGTGATATCAGTGCACACCCATGAATACATAGACACAGGCCTATGTCTATGGGCTCTTAGTGTAGAGGTTTCTTGACAATAGTCAAGAGCAGAAATACCCACAGTCACAAATTCTCCAATACCTTCATAGCCTTCCACTTTTTCAGTGTAAGTTAGTCCCATTTCATCCCTCCCGCTCTCCATTTGAGAGGTGGTGGAGTAAGACAATACTAAAATTTATCAGAGCTGAGAATAAGTGTCATTGAAAAGGGTGAAGTCTGATGCTAGGGGCAGTCCCTTAGGCTGTGAGGAGTCAGCATACCCAGCATCTGTGCAGATCCCAGGCTTTCCACCACAGATGTGCAGGCTACTAGCAGATTTGACTTTTCCAAATGAACTCTACAAGCTGATCTTGGCTAACTCAGAAGTTGATTAATTACTCATCATCAGCTAACTTCATACTCCTATATTTGTATTGTCCCTAAATGCTTTTGGAGTTAAGTTCATCTAGAGAGTAGCTGTTTTCATTTGGTTAATATCAACCTTAGATGCACAGAATACAACTTGAATTATGCAGAGCAATATTTTAATCATCTCATGTAAGTTGTTTCCCCATTTTCAACTTCCTGGGAAATCCTTCAGCATGAAATTTTCATTAGAGCTCACATTTTAAAACTCTGCTGCCCTTTTGTGAGTGGACAGAAGGCTGGAGCCCTGATTTGCCTATCTCAAATGGTCCACCCTTTTGTTTCTGGTTCACTTCACAGGGAGATTATGGACATGTACATTTTATAGACATGCCTTTTGTTTCCTTTTATTTTTTATTTTTGGAGTTAGGGTCTCACTCTGTCACCCAGGCTGGAATGCAGTGGCACAGTCATGGCTCACTGCAGCCTTGACCTCCTAGGCTCCAGCAAACCTTCCACTTCAACCTTCCAAGTAGTTGTTGCACTACCACACCTAG